GAAGAGATCGCCGTCGAGATCGCCGCCAGCCGCCGCCGGACGCGCCGCCACGCGCCGGCACAAGGTTGCAGTTGCTGGAGCTTGTCGGAGCGCGTGAGAGCGCGTGTGAACTCCGATTTCCGATCGGTCAACGCCGTTGACTTCGCCGTGACGTCAGCTTTCTGGATTGGTCAAGTTTGTTCGACTCCGAGAAGATTTGATTTGCGGTCAACTGTCCGGGCCAGCCAGATCTACATAAATTTTAAGCAGTAAGTTTTCTTCATCAAACCTTTAGATCCGCTGCGCATAGGTTTATGTTGAATGTTTGTCTGTGATTTGTGCATATCGAGATCCTCGTGGGTTCCAACAGCCAGGTCGTTGCGTATGCTTCCCGTCAGCTTAAGCCTCATGAGCAGAATTATCCGACGCACGACTTGGAGTTAGCAGCGGTCGTTCATGCTCTCAAGATTTGGCGACACTATCTTTACGGCGGTCACTGTGAGATGTTCACAGATCATAAGAGCCTGCAGTATATCTTTACTCAGAAGGAGCTCAACATGGGACAGCACCGTTGGTTAGAGCTCGTCAAGGATTACGACTGCTCTATTCAGTACCATCCGGGAAAGGCGAACGTCGTTGCAGATGCCCTAAGCCGACAAGTAAGGGGTGATTTGACGTACGTCATTACTCAGCAGAGTCCTTTGATTCATGAGTTTGCCCGGATGCAGCTTCAGGCGATTGATGCACTTCCCATAGCAGTTTCGGGGAGTACCAGTGCCAGTGTCAGTGCCATGCAACTTCATCCGACGCTGAGAGAGAGAATCTGACGAGAACAGGCTTCTGACGAGTTCGTTCGTGTCATGGAGGCCAAGGTTCGCGCCGGAGGCGTCGAGTGTTTTCAGCTAGGTGCCGATGGTGCCCTAGAGTTCAGAGGAAGAATTGTGGTCCCGAAAGTTGAGGTGTTGCGGAAGGAGATTTTATCAGAGGCCCATACCGCACCCTATCTAGCCCATCCAGGGAGCACGAAGATGTATCACGACCTGAAGGGGTCGTTCTGGTGGCGAGGCATGAAGAAGGACGTCGCCGAGTTCGTCAAGAGATGTTTAACCTGTCAGCAAGTTAAAGCCGAGCATCAGAGTCCGATGGTCCTCCTGCAGCCACTGCCGATTCTGAAGTGGAAATGGGAGGAAGTCACGATGGACTTCGTTACGGGATTGCCGAGGTCGTCTGAACATCACGACGCTATCTGGGTCGTGGTCGACAGATTGACTAAGGTTGCGCATTTCTTACCCGTTTCGATGAGGATGTCCATGGATAAGTTGGCTGAGATATATGCCCGTGGGATCTTTCGAATCCACGGAGTGCCCGTTACGATTGTATCAGACAGAGATCCCAATTCGTCAGTCGATTCTGGCACAGGTTGCATGAGGCGATGAGCACAAAGCTAGAGTTCAGTTCAGCCTACCATCCGGAGACAGATGGTCAGTCAGAGCGGACTATTCAGACGCTAGAGGATATGCTTCGCGCTTTGGTTGTTGACACTGGTGCTAAGTGGGAGTCTTTGTTGTCGTACGTCGAGTTTGCTATAACAACAGCTACCATTCTTCTATTCAGATGGCTCCTTACGAGGCACTTTACGGTCGCAAGTGTCGTTCCCCTCTCTATTGGGACGACGTCGGAGAGCGACGAGTACTCGGTCCCCAGTTGATCGAGAAGATAGCAGATCAGGTCGAGTTGATCCGGCAGAGACTCAGGACAGCTCAGAGTCGTC